GTCTTACTACAAAGAGTGCTAAAATCAGCCCTACTGCTTCCCCTTCAGCTCTTCAGCAGGCCTCAAGTTAGGCCTGGGACATCCACTGAGAGTCTCCCAAAGCATGTTTTGTCTCCCAAAGGTCTGTACAAAGACCACATCTGAAATGGAAAAGGTGCAACCAGCACTGTAAAAAAAATAAATAAATAAGTAAATAAATCTTTGGGTAGAAAAAGAAGTCATCACTATAGAAAGAAACTCTAAACTATAGAATGCTGAATTTCATCTAAAGACCACTCATTTTTGAAGGAATCTATGGACCATGAATTAGGTTAATTTTGGACCAAAAAAGATACATGTTGCAAACAGTTTCTATCTTCCCAGTCAACAGGAGACAACCATCTGGTATCCCTTACAATTAAGAGGGCAGAGGTCTTACTTTGAGATACAGGACGGTACAGTAGTAGGTCTAACCAAGCTGGCAATTTAGAGAGCAAAGGCACCAGGTACTCTGGATTCAAATTCTAGCCCTGCCACTTACTACCAATTGTGTGACCATGGTGAATGCATTATTTAACTTCTCTTCCACTTAGTTTTCTCATCACTAAAATTGGGATAAAAACAGATTTCGTTGTTACAAAGAGTAAGTAAACTAGTGTCTGTAAGTCTATTCATATTGACTCTGGTGTTTCAATGATTGGTGTTCCTTTCTTTATTTTTTTTTTCATAAATCATTTTTGTTTTAGGAATGCTCTCCATAACTTTAAGTCTCCATGACAATACCCCTCTTGTGATGACAGCACACAGAAGCTCTAATGCATGGGCACAGAAGGGAAATGCTTGCAGCCCTGAGAGTAACTACCCACCAGGCTGTGCACACATTTCGAGAGTTTGCAGCTGGGTATATGTTCTGGTGCGTAGGACTGGTGCACCAGCCTTGACTAGCCAGTCATGGCAAGGGTAGGTGGGGAGTGATGGAGACAGCTTTCCTGAACTATTCTGAATGTATTTTTCCCCTCCCCTCATTGAGGACATCTCAACTGGTTTTACTGAATTTCTGTTCACCATTTCGCTTGTTGTACTCTGAGATTTTGTTTGGAAGCAGTTTCTCAAATTAAAATAAGAAGTCTCTTAAGTAGAGGAGATGGCAGTGACAAGCAGCGGCACTGCTGGTCAGTCAGCTAAGAGCTAGGGCACACTTAGAGTCTCAGGGGAAGAAGGGTTTCTGGAAAGTAAGAGAGAAAGAAGGCATTGAATTTCCGTAAGTGGAAAATGGACACTGATCAGTGAACTGAGAGCCTGGCTGGTCAATGCTTAAGATAATGGAAAATCTCTGAAATCTCTCAAAGATGCTCACTGATCCAAGTGGAGGAAGGTATGCTATTAGAAAATCTTCCTGACCTGAGTCAGACTGTATTTTAGCTCTTTCAATGCTTCATAGTATTCACAGATAGTAAACAGATGTTAATCCTATGTCCAGAAGAACAAAAATAATCTTAACAATAGTTTTTACTTTTCAAATGTGTTTTTTCCACTTTGCTTGACTCTTACAAGCACTTATAATTCTTTCTTTTTATGTTTCTAGTTATGTACCCCCCCAACTACCCTCTGCACACATGTAAATTATCTATGGATTAATTTGGAAAAATCAATTTTATGTAAGCTTAAGCTAGGAGTGAGGCATCTTGACTCCCCTCTCAAAATAATAAATGGACTTTCCTTCTGAATTTACCTGATTGCTTTTCTAAAAATGGCTTCTGATCTCCCCTTTTCATCTATAATCTTATTTTAAACTCTATAGTGTTAACCTCCCCAATAATCAGTTGCGGGTAATCTAGCCCATGAATTCTAAAACAGAATCACTGTTTTAGACCATGTTCTTAAGAAAATGAGTCCTTGCTAAGTGCTTATGCAGAGATCTTGTTCTAAGAATGTTTCTTATAACTTGAGCTTTCCTACCCAGCACTAATGAGAAGGAAGGTTCACATTCAGCTACCAGTTCCAACCACATGGGTCCTTTGTTTTCCCACTCCAAAGATATCATGGTTATGGTTTTAGGGTAATGATTCACTTCGTAGGTTTTGATTTGTGCCACTGACACAGGAAAGAAGCAGCAATCACTGCCAAGAAACTTTGCCATGATAACTCATAAATATTTGTCGTGGAGCTAAATAAGGTGTATGAAATGTCTGTTGAATCGATGATAATGAATGAAGGAATGAGTGACCAGGTTGGAGCTCCACAACGATAGTGTTTCTGTCATTTCTTTTTCAACACCTTTCCTTCTTTAAGAACCATGATATCTATGCATACTCAAAGGTCTATTTTGGATCATTTTGTAGTAGGGATCAAAGCAGGTGGGTAACTGACCATCTGAGTTCAAGTTGCCCTCTGGAAGAATCAGGTTTATGGTATGATGGAAAACAACTTGTTTTTCAAGATCACAAGGGTAATAATATCTATCCGTATTGCCTCCTGGGACAGAAAGGGAAAGATGTAGCCCTTATGTGTCTTTTCTGAAAAAGTTCTCCAGCTCTCACGAGGACAATAGTTGAATAGTGTGCAGAAACTACAAATTGTTCCTGTTCCCCTTTATTAGCCTATCACAGTTCTCATTTAATCCTCATTTCTTCCATTTCATGCTTTCCAGATCTGAAAATCTTTCCAATAGTGGCCTTTATGCATTCTAATGACATTTAATTAGTCGCCTTTTATCCTGCCTTAGTCTCTCTCCCAAACTATATTAAAAATCAATGATTGTAACAATTCTAATGATCTGATGTGATGTTGGACAGTTCAAGTCTTGTCCAAGAATAATGAAAGAAAAAAAAAGTTAAGAACAATAAAAGGATGTGATACTCCTTGCCCTAGATTTCTTTGCTGTGCTTCCCAAACTTCCACCATAGAGATCAACAGTTGTGTGTGGTTTTTGCATTATGAAGGGCATGAGAACTGTGCTTTGGAGTTTATAGTCTAGTTGAAGATGAAAGATGATCACACTGACAAAGACAATATTCTTGATGTTTTTGCACATGGTTTTCTAACCTATACTTTTGGATTATCTTTCCCCTTCCTGCTACCCAAACTAAATGGGATGTTAGCTGCCCATGGCTGAAGTGAAAAGATGAACATGGAATGAGCAGGAGACGAGATGAATGAATGAAAGATGAGAATATATTTCTTTAGAAAAATATGCACATATACATCTTTTTGCTTTTAACATACTCTGTATTAATTTATACATATACATAGCGTAAGCAGTTCACATCATTTTGGCACTATGTATAATTCTACGGTAAGCTGTGTTGTTCCGTCAGCCCCTACTAAAATAGCACAATAATGTCTAGAATATTTAGCAATATATTATCACATTTGTACTAGAGCTGCCTCAAATACTCTGTTTTCCATGTTTGTAAACGAAAATAGGAACACCACTACATAAACACTGTGATTGGAAAAATACCTTCTTTTCAATTCCTCCCTTACATTCAGTAAAGGAGATGTAAACCACTTTAGTATCCAAAATACATTTTCACTGAAGGAATATAATTTTCTTTGGGTGCACGAAATATGTAACCAGAACAAATCAACTTTTTGTTTTTCTACAACTACATCACCTCTGAAAGGCAGTGGCATCGACATAGATGAGACTTCAGATTTGGAGGGTTTCAATGGATCTCCTCATTTAGCACAAAATCAAATGATGGTAACTCTGATGACTCTTGCAAATTCACAAATGAACTTCAGGTGCCAGTAACGAGAACTGGTTTATTCGGGGATGTTTGAAGATTTTATACTGAGGATGTAAAGAGAGACGTGGTGATATAGTATTGGGTTTTAATAAGAACCTCTACTTTTATTTGAAATGAACTGGGAGATGGTTCAACTTGTAGCAGTTACTTTTCCTCCTCCTGTTTTGCTAATAGCAGCAAACAAGAGGTCAACTACAAACTGATTTCTCATTAGCCCTACTGAATCTTCCTGGAAAAGACTGAGATCTTGTTAAGCTTTGAAGCTGGGTAGAAGGCAGTTAATGGATTTATATGGAGTCTTTTAATTACCAGTCTTAAGCAAATTTATCTTTTACTGCTAGATAGCACCCAAGGGCAAGAGGTAATCTGCTTTATAAACCTTAGAGTGATTTGCTTTATAAATCCTGGAGCTTAAGAAAGTGGAAAACTCTCTTTAAAGAGAATATTCTCTTCTACTAGAAATTATATTTTTGGCAGTTTTGTGAAAAATTTAGTGATGGATTCTTTGTGACCTCCCCTCGTATAAATGTCCGCGACTAGAGCACATTCAGCATGCAGGCCAGTTCTTCACAGCTGATGGGGCCTTTTCAGTGGACAGGACTATCCAAAGCCACACTGAGCACATGATACTAACAAACCAATTAACAAATTGGCCCATCTAATGTTTTGAGCAAATTGACCCTAAATTTCTTTTTTCATTCGAAGACAAAATTTCATTCCTGTCAAAGCCACTTGGTCTTGCAGAGGTCATATAATTTGTGTGGTTTACATTGTGTGGATGGTAAAACATCTGAGTAATATCGGAATTGATTGAAATAAAAAAATTAAAAATCAGATCCATAGCCAAATACAGAAATATTCTAATTCAAAGTCTAGAGTTAAAAAGAAAGATAGTGACCGTGATTTTAATTTTTCAAAGTTATAAATGGCTCAAGATTAACAAGGAGCACCCTGTTTCTGAACTAGGTCAATTTAATTGTGTTTTTCTTGGATACTTTGCTTGCATTACTATGACATCTGCATCTCAGTCCCGGATGAAAGATGGAGTTCACAAGGGATGCAGTGGGAGACCCCATTCCTAGACTGTCTCCCACAGCAATAGTACCAAGGATAACTTTCTCCAGGTTTACTATGGACAAATTCACTTAATAATTCTTCACAAATGATATGCTCAGCTCCTGGGAGGATGGGGATCACTTTAAACGCATGGTCGGTCTGTCTCCCAGGAAATGAAGGCTCAGTGATCACGATGCTGCATTAGCTTCACATTCAAGCGGATGACTCTTGCTCGATGATTTCCAGAGCGATGACCTCGGCACCTTCCTCGCCCAGGTTGTTGGCGGCTTCGTTCCTCGGCTCCTGATGGCAGATGTAAACCGGGACGTCCCCGGCCTCGGCGGCGGCGGCGGCGGCACTGGCCGCGGAGCGCCGGGGGTTCGGCCGCCCCCAGCGCTGGTCCCACTGGGTTTTAAACTGGGCCCACTGACGTTTCACAGTGGTTTGGACCTGGAAGAGAAAAGGGAGCCTTGTTTTGGCATCAGTGTCAGAAACGACCCAAGCCAAGCTTATGGACGTAGTGCTTGGGGCTTATCCGAGGTTGAAAGAGGTCGAGTCGCAATTCCGAGCCAAAGGACCTCGCAGTACATCCGCTCCGGTGGCAGAACGTACCATTTTGGGAGAATTGGCAAATCGGAGAAACGAGATGCTTGCCTCAGCCACCACTGGCAAGGGCGTTTCCTCCTTTGAGTAAAAGTCTCTTCATTACCTCTTTATGTCCAATTAATGAAATGTGACTTGGTTTTAGACCCAAATATGGTCTACATGTCATATCAGAGGAAAAGATTTTGAAAAAAGTTTTTGATCGGCTACCATCTCCAACAAGGCAGAAGCTTTCATCTAAACCTACACATTACTGGTCATGAAAAAAAAAAAAAGTAACCCAAAGCACAGCCCCGGGTCTTGAGATCAGGGCATCGTACTGCTGATTTTCCTTTCTTCAACTAGGCTTGAGGTGGGGGTGTGCCAGATAGAACTCTGGTTAATGGAGTGCCATGCTTTTAGGAATAAAATTTCCATCCTTTCCTATGGAAAAACTTCTAATATGTAAACAAACTTACCAGAACTGCTTTCTAAATACGATAAACTCTCTATTGAACACAGGAGAAGGAGAAGATGCTAATGCTGGGAAGCTCTAAATACGAAAACGGCAATGACCACAGTGGAGGAGAACCTGTACAGACAGTAATGCTGCTTGTCTAGCTCTGCTTTCTTCAGAACTGAATTCAATTTAGTTGTTAAGTTCATCTTCCCTGCCGTCTCCTAACTTCTTGCTTTTCTCTATAGCTGAACAAGACTAAAATAATTAGTATTGCTACAATATCTGCTCTACGTGTCTGAGTTTCTGTTGCTCAGTGCATGAGACAAACTGTTATGTAAAATCTTTGCATCAGTTTATTAATACATCTTCAGCTATTTTGCTACCAAACTTGAATATAAGATCCATCCATTAAGGGGGGCATAGGAGGGGGAATTGGGAAACAGTAGGACATGAGATAAAGCATGTAACACGTTGACTGTGAAGAGCCATGTTTGCATGAATGGAAAAGAAGGTATAAATGATAGCACAGCCTATTAATGTTATAAAGCAATAAGCATGATAGCAGACTGAATAATTTCTCTGGCAAATACATTTTCTGTGTATCATAGCAGAACAATTTTTCCAAATGACTATTAGTATTTGTCATATCATTTTAAATATTTTACTCAGAAAAAGGCAAAAGAGTCAAATGATTCACTGAAGACAAGAGGGTATGAAACTTGTAACTGGAGAGGTTCCTCTTCATACAGCAGAGGAGCTGTCAAGTTCAAGATGGCAAGGGGCAATCAGAGGAATTTGGTAATCTGATAATTTGGAATACTGGTAAGCTGACCATTTGGAATTACTGTGGCAACAGACTCTTGTTTTGTGTTTTTGGTTTTTTTGGAGGTGATGAGTGCATGAGTGCAGAGCAGTATCCATCTGATTTTATTTCAGGGAGACAAAGACCAATACTTTAAGTGCTATGGTCAAGCCATGTGTCATGCAGCTGAACCTTGCATTGACAAAAGATGTACAGAGGACCACGGATGGCATGAAAAGCTGTAGCTGTAGCTGGTATTTTATTGAGGGCTTACCATGTGCCATTTTCCAAGCTCTTGATTAGTATGAACTTATATAATCCTTACAATAGCCCTCTGAGAAGGCACTACTACTGTTTCCTTCACTTTACAAAGAGGGGCAAAGGTTATGCAATGTGTCCAGGGTCTGACAATTGGAAATGTGGTGGGACCACAAGGCCAGGTGAAGCCCATGACTCTTGACCATGCCGCTTGGCCACAGCATACACTGTAGAGAGCTCATCATTAAGTTTAGAACTAAATTGAGAAATGATTTGTTTCTTGTGGTCATTGCATAGGCATTAAGTGTTTACACATATGCTCCAAAGACCGTGCTGTTTGCGGTTGAGTCCCAGTTTGTTTGCTACATGTTTTTCCCCCCCTTTTTCTTTCTTAGACTTTTCTCCTTTGTAAAAAGGAGATGATGACACTAATTCAGAGTTATGAGTAAGATTTACTGAGGTTATTTAAATCACCTAGTATGCTATGCTGGTGCATCCCTACTTTTTCTGTGATTCTCTCACCATGCTGACTCCCTTCCAAGGATCTTCCAGTCAAGGTGGCTGGATTTGAGAGAGTCAAGTATCTCCCTTATGATAATCCAGAACCTGTAGGCTCCTATCTGGTCTAGTTCTTATTAGGGCTATTTACTGGTTGGAAATTGATTCATGGAAGTGTTTCCCTCCTATGGTTTTCTAAGCACATTAGTAGAAGAGGTACAAATAGAAGCTGTAATACAGCTAGAGAGGACAGGATGGATTGGAGGAATGGAAGAGGCAGAAATGAGGAAGAATGAAACAGTAAAAAAGAAAAGCAATTAGGACAGTTTATCTACACTAGGTGCTGAATAACTGAGCATTGACTAATTTGTTAACCCTCTGAGACATTTCTGTCTAGAGATCAAGATACAAAGAGAAGACAAAGTCTGAAAGATTAGGCCCATTTATTCTCTCTACTTGAAACACTGTGCTCCTTTACACACAGTGGCTTCCTGGACTCAGCTATTGCTGTTCAAAACAGTAGTCGGGTGACATACTCCAAATGGGCTGAACTTGATCTGGGTTATTCTCTTCAGAAGGAGTTTAGTCCACACCCAAAAGTGACCTGAAATCTTGGTTTGATGGTTTTGTCCTTGAGCTACTTACCAAAAATGCCTCCATTTCAGCCACTAGGCCAGGCACACATAGAAGGGATTTGGGTCCTGTAAGAGCACTTAGACACTAGGCACAGAGCTGCTGTCAGTGGCGGGAGTGGAAGATTCCCATAATCCTACTGCTTTTGCCTGAGTCGGCCAATCCTCTGCCAAAGTGGTTTTAAGCCACTTATTGCCTTGACCTGAATTCTCCAAAAATTAACAAGCTGCTGGTCTCTCTCCACCAGCTATATTGTTTCTTTCCATCAGGCTCCTCTGCTCACACTGCTCCCCCTGACCGAAATGCCCCTCTCTCACCCTTCACTGTGGCCAAAACTTGTTTTTCAGGACTCAACTCTGTTTCCCCAGGAATCTTTTCTTGACCCCCTGATCCAGAGTCAGGAGTCTCTTTTCTGTGCACTTGTTGCAGTTATGTATGCTCATTATTGCTCTTATTACATTGAAATCCTTAAAAGCAGGATGTCTTGTTCTTTTTATATTCCCAGAACATGTCATGCTGTTTGGCATATAGCAGTTAGTTATTCAACAAATACTTGTTGACTGATTGTCAACATCCATTCTAGAATGAATTCATAGCTCTTTCAGCCAAGAAAGTGATCACTAATGACCAAAATTAGTGCATTGGTATCCAGTGGTCCTAGGGTGGGGAACTGAAAGCATCTAGAACAAACCTAATGGAGAAATTGAAATTTTCTTTCATGCAAACAGGAAACACTGGGTTTTGATATGAGACCTAGAATCACTGTTTTTTGAGAACCTGAATTCCTTCCTGAGGTGAAGTGTAAGCCATTGGATGTTAGATCATCTACAACTGTTACTAGGTCTTCTCTTATGCCATGGTAAGTGTTTTGGGGAACTGCTCTTGAACTCCAATGAGTTGCTACTTTTGGAAGGGATCAGAAGCAGGCACTTGTTACATTGTACGGGCAACCAGCTGGATAGGAAAGGAAGACTGTCAGTGGGTAACATCATACCACCTTTCTGTTAATTTTCCACCAATAGGATCATTTCACCAGGTCTCATTCGATGCCAGGAAAGAAAGGACTGAACTTTGGGTCAAGGAACTCACTCTGCCCACATTAGCCTTGTAATCTTGGGTAGGACTGTTAACCTCTCTGATATTCCTTTCTTTAATACAACTCTTCTACCTCACTTTCTGTTTGAAGGATTAAATTGTGACAATATATATCAAAGTGGCATCTAAGTTTTAAAGTACCATACAGGGAGGCTACTGTTATTATTGCTATTATTGTACTGTTATTATGACAGGATGTTGACCTCAAGTCTTCAGACTAAAATGAAACTCTTCTGTCATGTTCTTTTTTTTGGGGGGGGGTGCTAAGAAAATAAAAAGACCTCGCAATGACACACATAGTTACTGATCTCATACATTCCAAACTAGGTCTCCAAAGAGTGCTCTATGGCTCAAGCTTGCTACTTCCTGGATTTCCTTTGGATTTCCGTACAAGATATTTTTCTGTCGGGACTACCCAAGAGATGGCATGGTTTTATTTGGGTTGTATTGTCTATTAAATGTAGGTCTTTAAATGCTTTAAATACCAGGTTTATAATCTAGGAACCATAAAATGCCCAGTTGAGGAATTAGGAAATATACTGCTTCAGCATATTTTTGGAAAAGTGATATCTCCACACAAAGGGAATTGATAGTTTCTGTGGATTCAGCATCTCTCAAATACCAACACTGTCTTTATAGATAAAATTTACACAGATATTTAGAAGTATCCAAAGTACACAGTATAAGTTTAGAGTGACTTTGTAAAAGTGTCCAGCAGACCAAAAAAACAAAAAACAAAAAACAAAACAAAGCAGTCTTTGTTTTTCTTCACCTGTTCTTTCAAAATAATCCCCATTGGAGTATCTATGCATATTAATGAAGTACCTTGCCCAGCAGGAGGCCAAAGGATTTGAGGCCTATTTTATGTTTTTAATATTATTATTACAGAAATGTTCATAGTTATATAATTGCATTCCTGAATTATAATCTATTCTTTTGTGTGGAGATGGCAATCTGCGTCAATTTGTAAACCACACATATAAGAATAGGCCCTTAGAGGATGTAAAAGACACTTGAATAATTATAGTTTAATAGGGCAATTATCTCCTACAATACCACAGGTTGAGCTTGATGCTGCTTTGATCACAAGAATAAGGGCAATGAATCTGTTTGAAAACAAAC